CTCCCTGCCCTTGCTCCACGTCTGGCGCTTCCTCGCTCTTCAGGCCAAAGCCTCAGGAGGCCCCCCACCCCCTTCCATCCCATCTTCCCGTCTTGCCCACAGGCATGGGGGCCCAGGGCCCACCCACCTTGCGCTGCTCCTTCCTCATGACGTGTTTGTCCTCATCCTTCCAGTAGGCATCCTCCAGCTCCTTCTGCTTCCTGGCATCAGCTGCCGCCTTGGCCTCAGCCCTCCGCGCCCGGGCCGCTGCCGACTTGGTGTTCTCGCCCTGGAACTTCTTGGGCATCCCTCAGCAGGCTGCGGGAGGATGGTGGGGACCAGTGAGTGAAGGCCTGCACCCCCGGCACCCCCAGACTCACACCTGCACAGCTGGGACCCCCTTGGGGCCTCAATGGCCGTGTCCGTAAAATGAGGGCTTTGGACTTAGTGTTCCCTCTTTTTAAAAACATTTATTCAGGTGAAATTCACATAACACAAAGCAAACCATTTAAAGTGCACAATTCAGTGGCATTTAGCACTTTGACAATGTTGTGAAGTCACCACCTCTATCTAGTTCCAGAACATTCCACTGCCCCAAAAGGAGACCCTGCCCCCATGAGCAGTCCCTCCCCACCCCTCTCCCCAGCCCCTGGTCACCAATCTATTTTCTGTCTCTGTGGCTTGGCCTGTTCTGGACGTTTCCGGTAAATGGGATCAAACGCGCGTGGTCTGTGTGTCAGCCTCTCCCCTCAGCGGGAGGTTTCCGAGGTCCCTCTGCGCTGCCGTGGGTGTCAGGCTTAGTCCCTTTCTGTGCCGGAGCACTGGGCCCTGTGTGGCTGACCGCGTTGTTTGGAGCCCTCCGTCCAAGGACGGACATCTGGGTTGTCTTTCCAGCTCCTATGTGTCATGCTGCTGTGGACCCCTGCAGGCCAGTCTGTGTGCGGCCCCTCCCACTCTGCCACTCATGAGGCCTTAGTCCCCCGTCCCACAGCCCTGAGGCCAAGTCCCCCTCCCCTGGGTGAGTAGCTGCCTCGAACTGCTCCCAAGGACCCTGCCCCAGCTTGCAGGGCCAGGAGAAGCTGGGCGCTGGGGAGAAGATGACACACACAGACGGCAGGTGCCCCCTCCCCATGCCGGGCCCCCACTCCATGCTTTCTATGGGCCGGCTCAATCGAATGTCCCCAAAGCCTTAAACACGGGGAAGGTCCTTGCTCCCGTTCTGAGGGCTGGAAGCCAGGGTTCCGGGCAGAGCCTGGGCTGGGCCTGGGGTCTCACTAGCAAAGCTTGCCTCCTGGGTGAGGAAGGGGAGGCTGCGCGGCTGGGAAACTGCGAGCACCCTTCGGGGGGCTGATGCAAGCACCGTGCGGTCCAGGACACAGGCCTTTGGCTCTCTGGGCCTCAGCCGTCTTCATCTGGGAAACAGGCTGGTGTTCCGGACTCATGGGTTGCTCTCTCCCACCCTGAACATCTCCCGCTCAGCCCCAGCTGAACCTGGGAGAAACCAGCCCAGCCCCCAAGAACGAAGGGGAGAGAATGTGGGGGCCATCCTGACTCAGGGCCACCAGGCAGCCCCCAATCCCACCTCCCGGCTGTGGGACTTGTGGGAGAGGGGCTCCCATCTGAGCCCCACTGGAAACTACCATCTGCTCCCATTTGCAGTGGTTGTGCACACTGGGCTCAGCTTTACGGAGAGCGTCTTAGTGAAGTCTCACACCCTGGCAGGTGGCAGCTGAGCTGCAACCTGAAGGATGGTTGGAGGCAGCCCTGTGAGGACAAAGAGGTGGGATTTCTAGGCAGAGGGCTCAGGATGTGCAAAGGCCCTGGGGCAGGAAGGAGGCCACGCACTACAGGAAGTGTGGAGGCCACTGAGGCCAGAGTGGGTGAGTGAGGAGGAGGTGGAGGGGAAGAGCGAGGGAGGGTGTGGGGCTGACAGAGCAGCCTTATAGGACGAGGAAGAGCAAGGATGTTCTCCATTGGCACCAGGGGGCTGTTAGGCAGGGCATGAACACATTCTGGTTTAGGTTGTTCCAAAGCCCCCTCTGGCTGTCACGTGGGCTGAGGGTGGGAGCCGAACACTGGGCATCACGATGGTGCAATGGGCAGAGCCAGAGGTGGTCTGCAGTCAGACGGAGCTGGGCAGTGATAACCGCCGACGCTGCGGCCAGGGGCAGCCTGAGCGCGTCCTCCCCCGTGGCAGCAGAGGCACGGCTCAGCCCTGGTTTACAGATGGGAACCTGAGGCTTTGAGAGGGTAAGGGACATGCTCAGGGCCACACAGTGGGGCAGTGGAGGGGCCCGGATTCCAAGCCAGGCCCAGCCCCTCAGTCCCAACTCCATGCTCCTAACCATGGCCCCCCACCCCGCCAAGGTCCTGGCTGGCTCCCCCCCGTGACATCAACACAGATCAGGACTCTGAGGCTTCTGGGGCCCCTCACTCCACACGGAGGGGTGCCCACTCCAGGCTGAGACCTGGGGGTGAGTTCTGGCTCTGCAGTTGTGGCTGAAGTGCTCCCCTCGAGCCTCGGTTTCCTGATCTGAGACGTGGGGTTGATTGCAGTCCCTCCTGGCATAGGATGCAAGGGCTGCCACGGGGCCCAATATGCCAGCCTGATCCCGCACTCCTCCCAGCCACCCCTTGGTCCCTAAATCAAGCATTCATTACCGAACGTCTACAAAGTACCCCACAGAAAACCCCTCCTGGACTCCCCAGGACAGCACCAAGAAGTGGGGGTCACTGTCTGAGTTAGAGATGAGGAAACTCCCCACCCTCCTCTCCCTTACATTCACTCAGCAGCAGGCAGGTATGAAACATACCACGCAGGTTCCCACCCCAGGGCCTTTGCACTTGCCGTGCCTGCCACCTGGCTGCTCTTCGCTCCTCTTTTTACCCAGTTAACTCCGATTTAAGCTTCAGGGCCCACTCAGGTGTTGCTGCCTCCAGGAAGCCTTCCCTGAGACACTACCCAACTCTCAGACCACGAACTGCTCTCTGAGGCACTTGCCTGGGTTGCTATCTTATGTTCATTTATATGATGATTCATCAAATGTCCGTCTTCCCCACCAGACTGGGAGCTCCATGAGAGCGGAGCCAGGACTGCCTTGGTCACCGCTGTGCCCCAGAGCCCTGCACAGTAGGGGCTCAATCAATGATTTGAGCACATGAATGAACCCGCGTCTATTTCCAGGGTAGCCTCAGTATTTACGTCACACACTGTTGTGTCCAAACTCCGCTTCTCACTGTTCTTTCCACTAACCCCCCTCTCCCACCTCTGAGCCTTTCCTCTGGCTGTACCCCATCTGATACCCCCTCCCTGTCCCCTCCTGTGACCCGGTCCACTCACAGGGCCTCTCCCCAGCATCCCCTTCTCCCATGCCCCACTGTTCAAGACCCCCAACTCCATCCCAAAGCCTAAGAAGGGTTTTCTGGCCCCTTCTTGAGGCCAGGACAGGATGTTTATGTCCCTCCAAAATCCCCGTGCAGGAGCCCTGACCCTCAGTGTGACTGGATTTGGAGATGGGGCCAATGAGGAGGTGATGAAAGTTCAATGAAGTCACAGGGTGGGGCCCTGATCTCATAGGCTGGTGCCCCTAGAAGAAGAGCAGAAGATGTCAGAGCTGCTCTCTCCACCTGGGGAGGACAGAGTAAGAAGTGGCCGTCTGCAAGTCAGGAAGAGCCTGCACCAGGAACCAAATTAGCTGGCACCTTGACCTTGGGCTTCCAGCCTCCAGAACTGTGAGCAAATAAATGTCTGCTGTCGAAGCCGCCAGTGTGTGGTACTTTGTTACAGCAGCCCCAGCCGACTGATACAGACAGCCTTTCTTCTCTGCGGGAAACACCCAACGCCCGCGCACTGCTGTCAGTAAACACGCACCGAACACCGAGTCCGTGTGGGACGCTGGGGAAAGGGTGGCATGGATGGGCTTCCTGCCCCCAGGGGACCCCCAGGCTGGCTGGGAGGTACACAACGAGAGTGACAACTCATGATGAGAGCTGTGATGGGGGACGCGCAGGGCTCTGGAGAAGCCCAGCCTGGGGGGGGGGGGGGGGGGGGGGGTGTATGTGTCAAAGGGCATCCTGCAGGGGGCATCTGATAAAAGGAGCTTGGGGCAGGCAGGCGGGGAAGAGAGGATTTATATTCCAGGGTGACGGGAAGGGGCGCAGGGCGTTAGAGCCAGGAGGCGATCTGCGGGTCAGAGCCCTCTGGGGTTGGTGAGGAGGTGAACGCGAGGGGTGAGACCGAAGCAGGGAGATCACGCAGGGGTCCGGGGAGTGGCTCTGGCTGGTCAGAGGGTACATTTAGGAGGGAGTCGGGACCCACGCGGTTGACTGGATGTGAAAGTAAAAAAAGATGAAGCTCAACGTCGTCTCCTCCAAGAACCCCTCCCGCTAACGCTTCTGGGCTCCGCCAGCGCCCCGTCCCTCTCCCTAACCCTGATCCCACAGCAAGAGCCAGGGACGTCCGCACCCAGCTCTGTCACCCGAAAGCCCGCACGCTGCTCAGGGGCAGGGCCGGAGCTGGGTGGCCTCGAACACCACGCTGTCCCTCTGGGTCTCAGTCACCCGCTGGGGGAAAGGGGCACAGACCCCGAGGGAGCCGTCGAGACTGGGCGCCGGATGTGCCCCGTCTCGGAGCACCCCCACCCCGCTCTCCCGGGGGTGGTCCCACGCCGAGCCGCCCCGCTGGGCCCACCCCGCCGCGCCCCCGCCCCCCCGGCTCCGCCCGCGCCGCGGCCGCTCCTACCTCCTGCCCCCAGCGCCGGCCCGGTCGCGCCTCCGTGACGTCACCGGTGGGCCTGCGCGCCGAGCTCCGGGCGGCGCGCGCCGATGACGTCAGGCGTCAGCGCCATCTTGGTAAAGGAGGCACGAGCCTGGCTTCCAAGCTAGTCGAGGTTGTCCGTCGCTTTTTTTCCTCTTCAACAAGGGGATACTGTATAAAGCCTCCTCCCCTGAGCCCACTCGAGATACTGGCGAACCAGGCCGGGTGAGGGGAAACTGCAATCTAGAACTTTGCCTTTACCAAGATGGCGGCTGCCTGGATGCAAGCTCGCGGCCTCGACTGCGCCCGCGCTCCGGCGCCGTGGGCCCGGAGGAGACGGCCGCCGGGGCGCGCCCCCGCCCGCGCCGCGGCGAAGGGAGCGCGGGAGCTCTTGTCCGGCGCTCTGCGCTCGGGAGGCGTTCTCCTCGTCCCCGTTCTCGGCCTCCCACCGCGAAGCTGGGGAGAGAGACCAAGGCACTCCGCGCCGGCCACGTGGGGAAACTGAGGCTCAGGCTGACCACCAGTTGAGTTTGGCCGAAATGTAACCTTGAGTGGGTCAAATGCCTCGCCGATCCCTCGTTGTAGATTGCTCTCCTCAACACACGCACCTTGCAATATTCTTTATTATTCAGCTCAAGAATTAGATTTGGGGGCCGATTTGTCGTAGGCACCACGCTTGAGATTTTCTGCATTTACTAAGCGGCGGTGTCCTCGTGGGGAGAAATGGCAGTACTAGGGGTCAGAGCACGGGTACGCTGGCTGTGGGCAGAGAAGCGGGGTATGGATTTGGGGGCAGTTCAGGCAGGACGAGCTGACCACACAGTCCATCCTCTGAAAGGCACCCCCAGGGACACTGCTGGGCCCTCGGTCAGACCATGTCCCTGCCCTGCTCTAAAGCCTCGCGAGTGTCCCCACTGCCCTGCAAGACCCCTCCCAGCTCCCCACCTCATCTCCCTCCTCCTCCCCTTCTCCCTCAGCCCCAGCCACACCAGCTCCCGTCTCCAAACTGCCAGGCAGGCTCCTCCCTCAGGGAGCTCGCCCCTGATGCTCCCTCTGCCCCTGGGCAGCTGTTCCCACGGCCAGCTTCTTCACCTCCTTCAGGCCGTCGACCGAACAGGCCTCCCTGAGAAAGACCTGCTTGACGTCCCCAGGGCTTAGTGCTCCAGCCGCGGGCCTCTGTGTAATTTTCATCATCTTGTCAGCTGGCTTCCTGTGTTCGGTGACCTGTCTGTTTTCTGTCTCTGCCATGGCCGTGATGTCTGGAGGTTGGAGCCTGTGTGCTGGAAACGTGGCTGTAACCAAGAAGAAGGGGCTCACATAGACACTGTGGTTCAGCAGTCGGGTTCGGGGGTGTGGAGGTGCCAAAGGCAACAGTTCCTTAACCTTCAGTGGTCAGGAGCCAGGTGTCAACAAGTAAAATGTAACAGACCCAGGCTTGTCACACCTTCCTGGGGGCAGGGAACCTCTTAGCTCCTATTGACATAACTGAGCCATGCAGGTCAAGTGAATCGTTCCAGAAGCCAAGTCTTCTGCAAGGTGACTTCTGCTGCCTCCCAGGCTCCTCCCGCCCCCGCCATGGGCCCGGCTCCCAGTCCTGAGGACTCTTGGCTTCTGTCTCCCTGACATTCTACAGCTCTTAGTTGCCCACACGCTCGAGCAAGCATCGAGGGCCCCCTGAGCGCCTGTGATGGGACCAGCGACGAGTAAGACAGACTGTCTGGGTCTCGTGGAGCTCACAGTCAGGAAGTCCTACAAAAACTATGATCCTAACTATAGCCAGAAGATATGCCTCGTGTTGAGAGTGGGTTCTGGAAGCCGGCAGCGTGGGTGATAAGAGAGGCCTTCTCAGAGGAGGTCGCATTTAAGCAGCGGTGGATAAAGAAAGGGAGGGAAGGGCGTTCTGGGCAGAGGGGACAGCATGTGCAAAGGCTGGGTGGTGAATGGAAAGTGGGAAGGAAGCAAGCAGACCCTGACTGCAGTCAGCTTGGAGTTGGCCAAGTGTCCATGGCTAAGCCGTGGAGTTCTCCTTTTGGGTGTAACTTCATGGGACATCAACATCTGACAAGGCAACTCTGGCCAGGATGGAGCGAGACAAAAACAAGAAACCTGCGTTTTGTTTGACCACAGACAAAAACAAGGGCATTGTCCAAGCCACAAGAATGGCCAACCCTCCGTGTCTGTCTCTTGGCTGACATGGGCGACAGCTCATTCTCACTGATCATGGCCTTGGCCCCACTTGGTTCCCCCCACCTCCTGGGAAAAAGGTGCTAACATACAGAGAGAATTGCCCCCACTTGCTCTTTGTGCCCAACCCAGAGCACACCATGCTTCCCTGCGCCCTCCTCAGGTCACCCACCGTCAGCCCCGGTTTTACAACAAGCCCATCCTAACGCCCTCCTCCGGAGGTGCTCCACAGAGCCAGGAGCCGCGTTGCGACAGGCCAATACGCCCAGCTTTGTCTGACCAAGGTGTGTTCTGGGTGGTGTTTGGCTCGAAGACGTCAACAGAAATGGAGGTCCTGCCGATGTTCCAACAAGACCCTCACTGCCACCAACCGTGACCCTCCACGGGCTCTCAAGGCACACCCTGCCTGCCTCCCCCGCTGCTGGGCCCAGGCATCCCTCAGCTTGTGGCCACAACACTCCAGTCTCTGCCTCCATCTTCACATGGCTTCTCCTCTCCTTGTGTCTTCTCCTCTTCTGTCTCTTATCAGGACACTTGTCACTGGATTCAGGGCCCACCCTAAGTCCAGGATGATCTCGTCTTGAGATCCTTCCCTTAATTACATCTGCGAGGACCCTATTTCCAAATAAGGTCCCAGTCACAGGTTCTGGCGGGCAGGACGTGGACGTCAGTTTTGGGGCCCACCATTCACCTCGTTACAAGTGCCTTGAGCGTTGTGTGTCCGTGGAGGAAACGTCTCTAGGGAGGGGACAGGCCTAGATACAATGTCACCCTTAAGTCAGTGCTGCTGGCTGAGGTGTTCTGAGGGTCTCCTCAGAGCAGCGTCCTTTGGACAAACTTGTCACCATTTGAAATCTGAAAAGGAAAAGAGAGAAAGGAAAACCCTCTGAGGGCATCTCCTCCGACCCTGTCTTTGTGTCTCTGCAAACTGCTTACATGAGCTCCACCTGCGTGGAGCCAGGGGGTGTGTCCAGCCTCTGATGGGGATCCACTGGCCATTGGCAAAGTCCTGGGGACCCGCTGGACGCTGCACAGGCACCGTCGCAGTGTTCTCAGGGGGCTTCTCCCTCCGAGTCGGTGCCCGGCCGGGTGGGCCCTGCGTCCTTCACGCTTCCATCCAGTTACCTGCACACAGTCCTCTGTGGGCACCGTCCCACCATGACAATCTGGAATGCAGTTGGAATATTGCAGTGGCCGCCGTGGGGCCTCTCATTGGCCAGTGGTCTTAGAGCAGAAAGAGGAAGAGTGTCACAAGGACATCATCTGTTCTGTCCGTCTAAATGGAGAGCCCTTTTGGTCTAACATGGGAGACCGCGTTACTTTGTCTCAGGCTTCAGGGTGTCTGTGATCCGTGTGGGCTTTGCGTCTGAAGGCCCCAAGTCAACGTGGAAACTGGTTAGTGACTCCGTCCGTTTTGTGTGTGTGTACAGGGAGCAGAGGGGTTTCCCACACCTGTCCTGGTAGGGGCACAGTGGCCCTTCAACGTGGAAACGCCGCGTCTGAAGCCCGCTCCCCTCACTTCTTTTCTCTGTCCCTTTCTCTTCCTTTTCTCCTCACTTGGGAAACTTTAAAGATGATTTAAAGGAAAAATCATTGTCTCTGTGTGTGTTCTCGCTGTGTCTGCTCCAGCTGACGGGACCAAGGTAATGACAACAACAACAAAGATAGCCAAGACATTGACACGACCTTGGTGTCCATCAGTGGATGAATGGGTAAAGAAAATGTGGTCCATCCACACAATGGAATAGTACTCAGCCATAAAAAAGAAGGAGATTCTGCCATTTGTGACAATATGGATGGACCTTGAGGGCATCATGCTAGTGAAATAAGTCACACAGAGAAAGACCAATGCTGTATGACCTCACTTATATGTTGAATCTAAAAAGGAAAGAACTCTTTTTTGAAAAGAGCCCTTACTTTTGAAAAATATTGAGTTCCCCATAACCATTGTTGTTCACTGCTGTGTAAATCTTTCCTGTCTTTATGACTTGAATCTCTCTCTGACAGCCTATTGTGACTCTATCTTTCCCAAGTTCAGGCTCCAAATTCAGAATGACACAACCCTGAGGGGCCTTGGTGCCTCTCTCCTGCTGGGTGTCCTGGAATTGCCTTTAAATAGCACAGATATTTGTTCCTTCACCTACAGAATCAAGGACAATAGGAAAGATCAGGTTTGTCTGGAATTCTCCAAATTTTCATTAATTGCAAACTGTTACAAGAGCTTTTTCAATTTACCAAATTTAGGATCAAACAAATAAACAAGCTCTGACACATCAAAGAGAGCCCATATTCCTAGGTAGGTTGTGTTTAAGTAAAATATGCTGATATAAATATCTTTCAGTGATTGTGTACTTCTCAGATTAAAAGAAGCACGGTCATCCTGAAGCACAAAGGCTCCTACAAAGAGCAGCTATGAAGGCATTTGTTTCCTGGATTCTAGATTCACAAATTCTTTCCCTTTTTGCTGAGTGACAGGGCTGCAGGGGCGCAGGGCTGTTGACTTCCCCACACGGGGTCGGCCAGCACCAGCGTTTACTTCAGCACCGTGGTGCATTTCAGTCTTTCATCGGCTTCAGTAAGGAGGACCTGCCACCTTGGCTGCGCTTGTGGGAGCTTTGGCGATTGAGTTCTGGGGTCTCCGCTCACCGTGCTGGAGCCCCTGCTTGCAGGCTGTGTCTTCTGACAGAAGACACTGAGCATCTCAGCTCCAGGACGTGTTCCCGCTTCCCCTTCACGTGTCATCTCCATCACGGCAATACTCTAAACCAGCCATCTCCTTCCCTCCCGAAAGAAGGACAGCCGCAGTTGCCTCCTTCTGTTAAAGAATTATCCAGACTCGGGAAGCCCTCCAGAACTGCGCTGTCCAATGGAAATATAACGTGAGCAGCAGACGAGATTTAAAATTTCCTAGGAACCACATAAAAAAGTAAAATCCAGTAGAATTCATTTCATAATTAATCTCTTAGCCCAATAGATCTATAATATTGTCACTTCAACAACTGATGGAATTCTAAAATGAAACTTAGCAAAGATCTTAGAAACTCTCCCTCCCCCAAAGTTTAAACTGTTGCCAATAAGATGAAACCTCTTTTGGATCTGCAAGTTATCGTATTATAAGTTAATAGGCTGCTCATGCACTTGATGGTTCCATTTCCAGTCCTACAGTCTACCCTAGTAAGGCTAATGTGACGAAATATTGCAAAAGACTCGCATGATGCCTGCACTTGATCACTGACTTGTGCACGCTGCTCTTCCACATCATCCCTGTAAGCGGTCCTTGCGTTGTCTGAAATCTCAAAAGACAGTATCCTTGAAAAAGATTTCAGAAGAAACTTGCCTTTAAGTCTTGATGGAAAGAGCTTCCTCAGCTTCTGTGGATAAGAAGACAGAAGTAAGACTCTAGGGTGCTGACGGTAGGATCTGTGTTTCCCAAGTAAAAATGCATACATTCTCTTATCTTTTTTTTTTTTTTTTTTTGAGGAAGATTAGCCCTGAGCCAGCTACTGCCAATCCTCCTCTTTTTGCTGAGGAAGATTGGCCCTGAGCTACCATTCATGCCTATCTTCCTCTATTTTATACGTGGGACACCTACCACAGCATGGCTTTTGCCAAGGGGTGCCATGTCTGCACCCGGGATCCGACCTGGCAAACCCTGGGCCGCTGAGAAGCAGAATGTGCAAGTTAACCGCTGCACCACCGGCCAGCCTCACGTCCTCTTATCTTGATCATTGGATGTGCATTCCATCAGGAGAGCTTAAAACTGAACATTCTTGGAATTGTCAATTTAAAAAGGAAATTCACCTGTTATTTTCATCTCAAAATGCCAAAAGAATTGCAATTCCAGACATGCATGCTGTGGCAAACCACAGGCAAATCCAGAAAACAAAGCAGGGGAGCTGCTTTTGTAGAGAAAACGGGGAGGGGAGGAGCTGTTCTAAAGGAAAGTCCACTGGGGGAAAGTGGCAATTCAGGGCAGAAACAGCTTCTCATTGGCTGGGCTGTGGCGTTTCTCATTGGCTGGGCTGTGGCGTTTCTCATTGGCTGGGCTGTGGGGTTTCTCATTGGCTGAGCTGTGGCATTTCTCATTGGCTGAGCTGTGGCATTTCTCATTGGCTGGGCTGTGGCATTTCTCATTGGCTGAGCTGTGGTGTTTCTCATTGGCTGAGCTGTGGCATTTCTCATTGGCTGGGCTGTGGCATTTCTCATTGGCTGAGCTGTGGTGTTTCTCATTGGCTGAGCTGTGGCATTTCTCATTGGCTGAGCTGTGGCGTTTCTCATTGGCTGAGCTGTGGCATTTCTCATTGGCTGGGCTGTGGCGTTTCTCATTGGCTGAGCTGTGGCGTTTCTCACTGTCTGGGCTGTGGCATTTCTCATTGGCTGGGCTGTGGCATTTCTCATTGGCTGGGCTGTGGCATTTCTCATTGGCTGGGCTGTTGCCAGGTACAGAGACAAGTCTTCCTTCAGTAGTAAAGTAGTTGTACTTCCTGTCTGAGATGCGGGCATCTGTCTCTTCCTGTTTGGTGTAATTGACGGTGTGTGATGGGGTGAGAGCCCCCCTGCAGGCCTTCCTGACCCAACTTAGTTAATATTTCTTCTGTTAATTTCCACTGAATACTCTAGGAGCAGACAGGAGCAGGTAGACAGCCTCCCTTGTCCCCCACCCACGCGGGAGACCACGCGGTCAAGCTGATGACTGGAGATGCAGACAGCTTATGCCAAGAAGACAGACAAGATTAATTTTCTGATTCCAGACTCCTCTTTTACTTTCTCTTCCTTCTACTACTCACGTAGGCTATTATTGTATGCTGACCCCGCCTATTAAATGGCTGAAAGTTCCCTCACTGTGCCCTTCCCTATCTTCGTCCTGCACTAGAGACTTCCTGTGTTTTTTTTCTGCCACTTAAACAAGAAGAAACTCTCTTGTGCGTTTTTCACAGACCACAGCTACTGTTCTGGGTAACAGCTGATTGCTGCATCTTCATTCCCCACCTGATCCTGCTGACACAATGTAATAGCTACTCCTCCTTTAAAAAAATCTTTTAATTTAAATGTGGTTTTTTTTTTTTTTTTTTTTTTTTTTTGCTGAGGAAGTTTTGCCCTGAGCTAACATCTGTGCCCATCTTCCTCTACTTTATATGTGGGTTGCTGCCACAGCGTGGCTTGATGAGCAATGTAGGTCTGCACCTGGGAACCGAACCCAAGAACCGGGGCCACTGAAGGGGAGTGCACTGAACGTAAGGGCTGCGCCCCAGGTGGTCCCTGTAATAGCTCGTCCTTTGAACAGTGCAGAAGGGTGAGGGTTGCATTGTGTCCCCCCAAACGATCTGTTCAAGTCCTAACCTCTGGATGTGACCTTATATGGAAATAGGCTCTTTGCGGATGTCATCAAGTTACGGTAAGGTTGTACTCGATTGAGGGGTGTCCTCACACAGTGACAGGTGTCCTTACGAGAAGAGGGAAATCTGGACACAGACACACAGAGGGAGAAGGTCGTGTGAGGACGCAGGCAGAGACCGGCGTGAGGCTGCTGTAAACAAGCCGCCTCCAGGACTGCCGGCAGCCGCGGGGAGCCAGGAGAGGCACGCACAGGTTCTCCCTCAGAGCCTCCAGGGGGTCCAACCCGCCAGGACCTTGATTTCCACCTGAGGGAATCAAAATAAACAGATCTGTTGTCTTCAGCCACTCGGTTTGTGAAACAAAGTTGCAGCCTCTCAGGAAGCTACTCTAGTCCATTTCCTCGTGTGGGCCCCTCCTACTAGGTAACGCTCCCTCACCCACTTAATCCCCGCCCGCATCTTGTAAAAATTGGGCCTCCATCTCACGTCAACAAAATGCTTCTGCTGAGGCCATTAGAACACTGTCGGCAAGCGCAGCCCGTCAAGAGTCGAAACAAATATTGGGGTTCTCCTCGCTCGAATTATTAACGTTTTGCTTGAGGAACAGCCCCACCTCGTTTCCAGGAACTGGTTAACTCCGCCGGGAGGCCCCCCCAAGGGACCAGTGTTTGGCTCGCTCCTGCTGCGGTGAACGATACCTGCGTCCCCTCCCGAGTCTGTGCCTTCCTGTGTCGCTGCTGCTTGTGAGGACGCAGCTTCTGCTCAGGAAGTCCCACAGACCCGTTTAACTCACGCACAGGGTTGGTTTCCCCGGAGCCAGCCACGCGGGTTCTGTGCTACGGCAGACGCTTCCCGCCGCACTGTCTAACGCTGCAGGTCAAGTGCAACCGCCTGTGACCGAAAAAGGGAGAAAGCCGCCTGGCTCTCTAGAACAGACACCCAGCTGGATTCGGGCAGGTTTTCTTTGCCTGGGTTTGTGGCCTGTGAGAAGAAGCCTGTAAGATGGGTCCCAGTGATCCCCATCTCTTCACATTCATGCCTTTGTGTAATCCCTCCCCTGCATGCGTCCTGGACTTATTGGCTCACTTTTAATGAATATCACACAACAGAGGCGATGAGATGGCACTTCCAAGATTAGATTTAAAAGACCATGATTTTCTATTCCCCAACTTAGCTTCCTTTGCAAGTAGAGGTGGCCATGTCTGGAAGAATGCTGTGGAGATTTCTAGGAAAGCTGCTTCTATCCTGATAAAGGGGAGATACAGCTGGCTTCCTCCTTCCCCATTCTTTTTGCCTTGAATGTGGATGCGATGCCTGGAGGTGTGGCAGCCATTTTGCAATTAAAAGGCAACTAGCAGGGGAATAAAGAGAACACAAGAAAGATGGTGGAGCCAAAAAGAAAAAAGTCTGCAGCATTGTGGAGCAGGTGAAGGGACACCAGTAGCTTAGTTCTGGACTTCTTGTTACATAAGAAAAATACATCCATGTGTTTACACCAAAAAAAAAAAAAATGTGGCTTCTGTCTTGGGTGTTCTTCTATCTTGGATCACTCATGCTGGTGGAAGCCAGCTGTCGTGTCATGAGGCAGCCCTGAGGCATGAGTGAGCATGGAAGAGGATCTTTTGGCCCCAGTCGAGCCTTGAGCTGACCACTGACCCAGCCAACACCTTGACTGCAGCCTCATGAGAGACCTTAAGCCACAAGTACCCAGCCAAGCCACTCCCAGGTTCCTAACCCCGAGAAACGAGGGGATAAATGTGTGTTGTTTCAGAAGCTGCTCTGTTTTGGGGTCATTTGTCTCCTCTCCCAGAGAGGGTGCCACAGACATTGGTGCTGCCTACCGTGGTCAGAGCCCAGAGGATGGTCAGAGGGACACAGTGTAAGACTTCTGCCCCTAAAATCCCCAAATGCCATGAATCTGAGATTTGAAGGCTCTGCATTCTTTTTTCTTAAATTGGGGTAAAACATACATAAGATTCACCATTTTAGCCATTTTTAACTGCACAGTTCAATGGCATTAAGTACATTCAGAAAATGTCATAGACATCCCACCCTCCCCAGCTCGAAATCCTCCCATGGCTCCCTAGTGCCCAAGGTAAAAACCTACTCTCTTCCCTGCAGGCCCCAGACCCTGTCGTCCTCCCGGTCCAGCCACGCCAGCCTCCTCATTGCTCTCCAAACCCGCCCCACCCACTCCCACCCCAGGGCCAGCGGCTCCCTGGATCCCTGGCTTTCTGGATTAGTGTTCTCTGGTGAGCAGGAGGAGGGTGACAGCGCCCCCATTCTGCACCCCAGCTATGTGGGCTGGAAGCGCATGCAAGTGGAGCGCCCCGAGAAGGCCGTGCCCCGAGTGAGGAACCTGGTGGAGGCCGACTACTCCCACTGGACGATGGCTTACGTGCTCTCCCAGCAAGGTGCCCACAAGCTGCTGGCCGCCCGGCCGCTCGCCAAGATGCTGCCCGTCGACGAGTTCCTGCCCATCATGTTCGACAAGCACCCAGTGTGAGGGCCGCGGGCAGGCGGGCGGGGGTCTCGCTGAGTGGCTGTCCTGGGTGGGGCGGGGCTCCCAGACCCCGGGGAGGGGTCTTTTCCTCTGGCTGCTTGTCCTTCCATCTGTCCCTTCCCCAGGGGGAGGGACTGCCACCCCTCACGGCCCCCTCCCCCCAGGTCCGAGTACAAGAGCCACTTCTCCCCCCGCAACCTGCGCGCCTTCTCCGTGGAGCCCCTGCTCGTCTACCCCACACACTACACGGGGGACAATGGGTATGTGAGTGACACAGAGACCTCGGTCGTGTGGGACAACGAGCACGTCAAGACCGACTGGGACCGTGCCAAATCCCAGAAGATGCGGGAGCAGCAGGCCCTGAGCCGCGAGGCCAAGAACTCAGATGTGCTGCAGTCGCCGCTGGACAGCGCGGCCCGTGATGAGCTCTGAGGGGCGGCCGCCCCAGGCCCGGCCTCTGCCTGCTCACCAGGGACAGCGGGGCCCGTGATGAGCTCTGAGGGGCGGCGCCCCAGGCCCGGCCTCTGCCTGCTCACCAGGGACAGCGCGGCCCGTGATGAGCTCTGAGGGGCGGCCGCCCCAGGCCCGGCCTCTGCCTGCTCACCAGGGACAGCGCGGCCCGTGATGAGCTCTGAGGGGCGGCCGCCCCAGGCCCGGCCTCTGCCTGCTCACCAGGGACAGCGGGGCCCCTGTGGAGCCCTGGCAGGCCACGAGGGCTCTCCAGGCAGGGCGGCGGCCTGCCCGTTTTCGCTCAGCAATCACGTGCACGCAGGCAGCATTAATGGAGTGCCTACTGTATGCCAGGAACAGGGCTCGGCACCGGGGCATTGGGTGGGAGCAATCCATCGTTCAGCTCTTCGTGCGCTCGAAACTTTTCAAGCATTTACTGTGTACCGGTTTCCTGTGCTTTGGCAGCAAATGACGCGTTCTTATCCCCTCAGTCACTGGTTGATTCAGTCATCAGGCATTTATTGCTTCCCCCAAGAGTCAGGCACTAGTGTATGCATTCGTTTTTTAAATTAATTCAGGTATTTATTGAGTGCCTACTGTCTATGGAGCACCATTCCAGGCTCAGGGAATATTGAGATAAACAAGACATTTTAACATTTATTCAAGCCCGTTGAGCACCTGCTATGTGCCTGGTGCCTGTGACGCAAAGACAAGTTCTCATCGACTCAGTGCACTTATTGAGCTCAGAGTTGGGGATGGAAGGAAACAAGGTGCTTCTTGGTCTAATTGGTTTCTGCCCCACACGTCTGAAGAACACTGAGTGTGCACCAGGCGTTAGTGACACAAAACACTGCCAGTGCTCACTCAGCGTTCCTCACCCACGTGCTGGGCCACAGAGATGAACATGACGAGTCCTTTCATTTCTTCATGCAGCAGGCATTGATTGAAGGCCTACTGTGTACCAGACCTCATGGACCTCCAGTGGGGTTGGAGAAAAGCTGACTGAGTTCTGTTCTCCCTCGTTCCCCAGTCACCTGAGCTGTGTGCAGACAACATCTTGCCACCACCCAGGAGGGGGGTGACTTCCCTCGCCAGGGGCAGTGGTGGGTCCCAGCGACCACACGGCCTCATGCGAGCCCCCTGGACCCAGCCCCCCTGGAGGGGGCGAGGGATGAAGATGGCGGCAGGGGCTCCCGTCCCCCCTCCGACCGTGGGCTTGACTTCCTGGCCTGCGTCTCAGCTGTGCTCTGGGGCTGCTCAGGGGCTCCTCTGTCCGAGCCTGTGGCGGCCTCACGTGTCCGGGCCGCCCATGGCCTCGGCAGTGTCCCCAGCACAGGCCGCAGGACTTGCTGTGCCTTCAGCGGGATGAATGTCGGAGCCGGCCGGCCGAGCTTCGCTCTTTTAAGGGTCACTGCTCGCCGGGCCGGGTCCTAGATGACTCGCCTATTTTTTTATTAAATGTTCCTGGTTAATTTTGACGTCAGTCTGGGTTGTCTTCTCGGTCCAGTGCTCTGCGCGCCCCCACGTGCCTCCCACTCCCACCCCTGCTGCCGGCCGAGGCCGGCGGGAACGGGGCTGGAGAGAAGCCGCCAGTGGGGTGAAGCCGCTAGTGGGAGCCCCGCGTTCCCGGCCGCCCCGTCAGACGGCTCCCTCCCTCCGCCTGCGGGGTCCCTGCAGGACTGTCTCAGAGGACAACGAGGAGGGGCTGCCAGGGTTTGGAGTCTCCAGAAAACACCCCAAGATGAGGATTCGAGGGCGCGGGAGTCCTCCAGGAGGCGACCCAGGAAGCCCCGGGCGGGGTGGGGACCCGAGACCTGGAGCGAAGGAGCCCTGCGGGGGGCGCCCGCGAGCAGCTGGCGCGGGGACCAGGGGACTGAGCGGAGCGGGCGCCTCACTGGGTCGCACCCGGGCCGGGCTGGGGGGGAGGAGGGCGTGTGTCCGCGCCCCGGGCCTGTGTTGGGGGGGGGGGGTCTGTGCCCGCCGGGGCGGGGTGAGGAGTCCGTCTGTCCGCGCCCGGGCGCGGTCGGATCTCTGGTGGACACTCGAGGCTTGTCGCGGTCCTCCGGCCGGCGGTGCGCGCACATTTCCACCATCCCGCCGCCCGTGCGCGGTGCTCGTGGGCGAACAAGCACCCAGCCCAGCAAACGGAGAGCGGAGTGGGGTCGCGTCCTCAGGGACAGCAACTACCGTTTTGGTGACAAACCTTCCGGTCTTACCGTTTGCATGGTGCAAACATACACACATGTTCAAAAGGAGGATCGTGTCACATGAGCCGCTGGAAACGGCTCCCCCAGCGCATTTTCCATGCGTGGCCTGGGGTCAGGTCACACCCGCTCCTGCTGCAATTTTCTTCTAAACTTAACGCGCGCGGCGGACGCGCGGGGCTGTGGGCGGCTCGCGCTCGGGCGGGCCGTGGGGGCTCCGGCCGCGGCCGGGACGCTGGGGGGGGCGGCGCCCGCGCGTCCGCGGAGGCCCCGGCGGCGTTCTCGCCGGTCCCGGCCGGGCCCCGGAGGCTCGCCGAGCTCAGCGCGCGGCTCCGTCCCTCGGGCCGTGCGGCGGTGTCCGCGCTCCTGGCTGTGCGGACGGGCGGGTGCCGCCGGCGTCGCGGGCGCAGAAGCCGGGGGGCGCTCGACCCGGGCGGTGGCAGACCGGCCCGCGCCCCGGAAGACGACGTCGGGGACCCGCGACAGCGGTCCCCAGAGGGCCGTCCTCGTGGAAGGAAATGAAGGGACCTCTGCTGCGAACGGCCTGGGAGTCAGGAGCTGGGGGCCCGGGACCTGAGTGCCGCTCCGCCTGTCCCGCCAGTCACCTAACAACCGTCTTTCCTTCGCTCTCCGAACCGCGGAGAGCCGAGTCCTTCCCTCTAGAACATTCCACACACACACACACACACACACACACACACACACACACAGTGCGTGTGTTTCTTGCCTTCATGTGGTTAATCTGTTGTTTGTCATTGGAAAGTGATTGGTGTTGATGGGAAAACCCTTCAGCGGGTCCATCGGTTCATCGTCTATGGCTGCAGGAACAAGTTTCCACACACTTGGAAGTTTAGAACGACGCAGGTTTACTCCCGTGTGTTTCTGGAGGCCGGAGTCTGAAATCAGTCCCGCTGGGCTACGGTCCTGGCGTGCGGGCCGGGTCCTTCTGCAGGATCGAGGGGGACTCTGTGTCCCTGCCTTTCCCAGCTTCTGGAGGCTGCTGGCGCTCCTGGGCTCACGGGCCCTTCCTGCCTCCCTCCAACTCTTGCTTCCATCGTCTCATCTACTGCTTCATCTGACCTTTTCACCCCTCTTACAAGGACCCTTGTGACTGATCACAGTAAGAACCCACTAGAATAATCCAGAGTAATCTCCCATCATCTCAAGATCCTTATTCCACCTGGAATGTTCCTTTTGCCATTTGAAGTAATACTCACAGGTTCTGGGCAATAGTAGGTGGGTACCTTCGGTGGGGACATTATTCAGTCCACGACGTTCGTCCTTTAGCCCGGCTGCAATTGTGTCTGGCTCTATGGAGGTATCATAATTTATTATGCATCATGACGTAGCGTATCAGTCAGGATCAAGGCAGGAAACAGAAGCCACCCGAAGTCCTTTGACAGAAAGGGGTTCCATACAGGAAATTCACAACGACCCAGCTCTGCTGTCGCAGTGTGAAAGCAGCCGCAGACTGAGTCGAATGGGAGAATGAGCCTGGCTGTGTGCCAATGAGACTTTATTTACAGAAACAGGCAGTGGGCCAGATTTGGCCCAGGGCTGTAGTTTGCCAACTCCCAGTGCAGAGGAGCGGGACCGAACTACCTCACCAGGGAACTGAGGCTCCCGCCAGGTCAGTCGGGGAAGGCGGGGAGTCAGGAGTCCTCGAAGCTTCTCACTTTGGGCCCACACCCTGGATCCGCGGTCCAGGGACAGGACGCTGCCTCCGCCTCCACGACTGCTTCTCATTGCCCACCAAGCTGGCCGCTGGGCACGGGGACGTGAATTCTAAAACGCCAGGTGTTCCCACGCCTGGCTGCTGGCAGAGCGAAGGGGAAGCAAAACCCGAGACAGCTCCGGTCCCTCCGCCTCCCGACCTCCCGAAGGCGCCTCTGGCCGGGGGACCGCGAGCGCCCAGCCTCGGGGAAGTCCGAGTGCGCGACTGCAGCTTTCCAGCCTCTGCCAGGAAAGGAGTTGGCTTGGGGAGGGCGCTGATGTCAACCCACCACTTGCCCCTCGTTTATTACTGCACACTATGGTAATGCTCAGAACGAGTGTGTAATTGTAGGATGCGTAATCACGGAAACCACCATATGTAACTGCAGGATTAGGAGCAGAGTAATTATAATGCAATATAAGAAGTTGTGTAATGAAATGTAATCTCACGTAGATCGCCAATCACGTAATTATGTTTCACCCTCCAGGAAACTACCGTGCACTTGGTGATGTCCGCGGGTGATCCAGCCGCGTTGGCAGGTGGCATGATGAGGAGACAAGGGGACATGGGGGGGATTAGGGTCGACTTGGGGCTGGTGGCGAGAGCGGAGGGTGGGGCGAGCTTGAGGATGGTGCTGGAGTTCAGCCTGAGGCTGAGGGAAGTAAGGAGACGCAGGAGGGGAGGCCGACGAGAGTGGATGAGGTCAGAGGTGTCAAACTGCGGCCCACGGGCCAAATCTGAGCAGCCACCTGGTCTGGTTTTTTGTAATTGAGGTGAATTCAGACAACATAAATTAGCCGTATTAAAGTGTGCGATCCTGGGGCATTAGGGCCATTGACGTGGTTGCGCAGCCGTCCCCACCATCCGTCTCCAGAACTTGCTCATCGTCCTAAACTGAGCGTCTGTCCCACTAAACACTCACTCCCCCTCCCCCCACCCCTGGCGCCCTCAGTCCTGCCTTCTGTCTCTGTGAGTGACTCCCCTAGGGGCCTCATATATGTGGAACCACACAGTGTTTGTCCTTTTGTGTCTGGTTTACGTCACTGAGCATAATGTCCTCACGGTTCCTCCCACCATAGCTCGTGTCAGAATGTCCTTCCTTCTTAAGACTGAATAGTATCCCGTTGGGTGTCTGCACCACATTGTGTTTATCCAGCATCCTTCCGTGGACGCCTGGGCTCCTTCCACCTTTTGGCTATTCTGTATGATGCCACTTTGAACAGGGGTGTGCAAAAATCTGTTCCATACGTGCTTTCATTTCTTTAGGGTCTATACCCAGAATTATATTGCTGGATCATAAGGTCATTCTATGTTTAAGATTCTTGAGAAACTCTCATACTGTTTTCCATAGTGGCTTCGATTCTTTTTTAATTTAATTAATTTATTTATTGTTTATTGAGGTGAAATTCCGATGACATCAAATTACTTAAACTGTTCAATTCAGTGACACCTAATAGATTGACAATATATTGTGACGTGATAGAGGGGCAACCCTCGCCTCTGTCTAGCGCCAGAACATTCCATCACCCCAAAAGGAGACCCCGTCCCCGTGAGCAGTCCGCCCGAGCCTCC